CTCTTCGTTTCTGAAATGCTTGCACTACATGTTCAACCTGGTAAATGAAATATACAAATAATTACAGTACTACAAAAGAAAGAATATTCACCGGGCTTAATATCAGCAGATTTGATATTACAGGGATAGTCACTAAGTTTTAAATTCACTGGAAAACAAAAATGGCAACCATTGCTGTATTTATTTATTTATCTATCAAATGTCTGTATATGATACACTAGAAGTGCATGTATCTAAGTTACTTCCTAATAAAACTAATTAAACTTTTTTTTTTTCTTCAGTAAATTGCTCAAGAAATTCTATTATAAAATGATTTGGATCATTACAAGAAGAACTGCTGATATTAGACTAGCGGAGAATGTTACCCGAATACAGTAGTAGCTTGACAGTGTACACACTTACTTTGTTAGCTAATAAATTTCTAACAATAGGTACATATTCTATTAAACTACCACCACATGGAAATACAGGTATCCTTAGCTGTGATGCACCACCTATGGCACTGAAAAGAAAACAAAAGGAAGCGATTGTATAGAACCCTCTAGGAGGAGATTGTTAAGATTCCCGGCAGGTGACTAACAGCCAAGTTAATCATCTCATATCATACAAATGTATCATTATACATCTAGCACTGAAAAAAAAAAAAATTTGCTGTTCCATAAAAAGCAGCACCAGTACTTGTTCTAAAGCATATCAGCACTCATTCAAACGTTTTAAATTTCCCTTATAAGGGGTAAACTACATATCACCAACATTGATTGATGCATTCCCGGTTATTGATGTCACATTTGGACACTTTGCGTTGTTTTGTCCAATTACTATTGTGCGTGATGGAAATATAATCCGGTCATTCATGCAAATGTCTGTACAGCAGAAGACGTTTCTCGTTGTCATTTCAGGCTATAATCTCTCAATGGGTCGAACCGATCAAGAACATTGAGAATGAAAAACATGATGAACCAAGACTTACTGTTCCACTCTTGGTGATAAATATAACTGAGGTAAAACTTTTGAAGTACCAGCATTCTGGAAAGTCATAAGAAGTATTGCTATGTCTTCACCTGGATCATCCTGTAAGAACCGACACATTCATGAATCAACTGACAATCCAATTAATTTCCTCACTGAAGGTCACATGCATTAAAATATGGTAGAATCAATGATGAATCCAACTCACAATCTGATTAGAAAATGAACTGAGGATTCACCTGTATTAAATATAGTGGAATCAATGATGAATCAAGTAACAATGTGATTAGGAAAATAACTGATGTCTTACCTGTATTAAAAATGGCGGAATCAATGACAAATCAACAGGCAATCTGATTAGAAAATTAACTTGAGTTTCTCTACTCTGTAAAGACAGCACATTGACAGTCACATGTACAGATACACAATTATCATTGCAAATATAATTGCATTAAACATTACCGGTAGTTCTCTGAATATATGTGAATTGTGGGAAATAATTGATGAGGATTGCAGCAATACATGTACATGCATTTTGGAACAAAGGTGAAATAAGGAACAGAAGTGAAATTAAAAAAACAAAACAATAATGGGAATTCGAATAAATAATAGACATTTGCCAAAAATTATTGCATTTTTAACCGTTCAGGATAATTTTCCACAATTCATTCATGCACATTCAGACCATGAGACAAGTCACATAATAATGCTCAGTCATACATCTTTAAGAATGATATTGGGAAGAAACTTGACAATTTCATATTGTCAGACTTCTTTCAGCCTAAAACAATATATAACAATGACCCTCCTCCTGAACATAACATGAACCCCATGTTACCGGAGGTATTCAGTATTTTGAGTATTGATAAATCAATAATTGTGATATGAACTTACTGAGATTTTCTTCTTGCCTGCAAACACTTCTATATCCTGTGGGTCAATGGCTTCCTGCAGGGTTGTATATTCATAATGCAGCCTGGGATGCTGTTGTAACAGTGCTTCCTGGTATTCTTTATAGTGCTGTACTAGTTCTCTCATAACGAACAGTAAAGATTTGTTATTGGTGTGGTCCCAGTTCACTAGACTCTGCAATGACGATTACAACAATTGTGTGATCAAATATAGTGATAGGGATATGTGTAGAAAACTTGTCTGAAACAACTGTTTGTTTTTCTTTTTTCAAATGTTCTTTATTCAGCACAGTAACTTTTGGTCATAATTATGAGATTTTACTAAAAATAGGACTGCCAAATCATAGAATTCTATTCGGCATGTGTGGACAATGTGCCCAAACGATAAAGTACCTCAACAAAGACACTTCAACATTACTTCACGGTCACAATGACAACACTTATAAACATGCCTGTAACTACTTAATAGTTTTTCTGATTCAAATGATCTTATGCATATTCACAAGGTGATAATGACATAATTCAAATTAATGATGTTGAATAATTATTTTCTAGTACTGTACCTATAGTATATATGATATAGCTTGCTGAGATGAAATTTCTCATTCACACAAATGAACAACCATATTCAGGCATTGTTTTTAGAGGTTGTTTTACCTTAACTTCATTAATGCCAGGACAAAAACCTTTATCTTCCTTGTCAAATATAAAGTCCGGTGGCAGAGATGGATAACAACTGTTGAAGATCACTTGCCCTGTGGAGTTTAAAAATCAAATGACACAATTACAGGAAATATACAGTAAACGTATTTGATTTTGATATTAAAAGTCTATCTCTAATAGAACATAAACCATGAAAACCAGATCAGTTTCAAGAGATATGCAACTTCAATTTTTCATGATATCTCATGTGCCTGTGAGTTGCATCCATGCACCAATCTTAACCTATTTTTAACCAATGACATCACAGAATGCAGTGGATGATTTTTATTTTTAACATTCAACTGATACATGGACTTCAGTGGCCACAATCTCAGTACTAGTTCATATACCACCATTTTGATAGTGACATTTGCTACACACAAGCTGTAATAGCGAGATTAGAAAGCCAACTGTTTAGCCAAAACACAATTTGCTAGCAAGTTTGCAAATTGGTTGCCCCAATATTTCTGAACCATACCTTCACCTTATAATCCTTGGTTCTATTCATTATTATTTTCCCCCTATTTGTTCTCAAATCAAGTAATGATTGAAAATCAGGAAGAAATTAATAATACATTATAGCAGAGGTACATTACTTGGGGTTTGCAACTACGGTGACATGATACTAAGATCTCATTTCAATCTCGCTCGTGCATAAGCGTTCCAACTCAGAAAAATGCGAATGCGCATGCCCGAGGTAACTAGGATACTGGGATGTCCAGATGGATCAAAATAGGTGCTCACGATATGACAGATTACGATAACTATATTTTCTGTACATTTTCAATGTATTACATTTTTTTACTATCAATATGGTAATACATGTTTTATTGTTTTATTACAAACCGCCTATGTCATGTCAGAAAGTCGTAGCATCAGTCTCGCTATCTACGAGATGAGACTTGAATGGGATCTTGGCATGATGACACCATACAGTACTATGTGCGATGCAAACCCCAAGTAATGTACTGTGGAATACTTTATTTTCGCGGGAATTAATTTTTGCTGAAAGGGCTTTTCGGATGTTTTGTATGGAATTTATTTTCACTGATTTTTGATGAGTTTAATGTGAAATATAAGAAAAAAAGTATATTCGCTGGATTTTATTTTCATGGAATCATCCCTTCAGCGAAAATAAATACCAAGCGGAAATAAAGTATTCTACAGTACCTCTGATTATACTTATATATTTATATGGATACTCAGCCCTCAAGAGACTGTGAATTCACTGAGGAGTTGCGTAAATACATTACAACATAGACTGATATGTAGGCGTGAGTGGCGCCTTCGCAGGCCGGCCGTTTGGAGTACCGCAGAGGGCGCAAATCACGCGACCTTGTCAGGCTAATTACAACATGGCTTTCAAGAAATTTAAATGGCTTACATTTCACATCATTTCCGGCGAAAGGAATGGAAACTTTAAATCTATCACAGCATGTAGTAGGTCTTCGAATACTAATGTGAGACCTGCAAATAAAGTAAACGTAATTACTTTCCAAGCGGAACAAGATAGTACACTATTACAGTCTTTAAAGACACGAAGAACAAATAAAAACACTGTTCTGTCAAATTATGAGTCGTTTCTCGACTTACCCCGATTTTAAATTTGAAATTCTCAATGCACCACCACGAACTCCAACGTTTGCATCTTCCTGAAGTGCTTCAATATATCTCACAATATTCGGGTCCAATGTATCAACTTCTCCATTTTCCATGTTGTCGATGTAACAGATCAATGAATACTCGAAAATTCGAGGGGTCGTGATCAATTTATTGTTTTTTTTCACTTCCGGTACTGCACTAAAACGAGGCTAGAGGTATTTCCCGAAACGAAAACGAGGCAGTAAACATGGCTATCCCCATGAAAAGCATGCTGTGTCGAAATGGGAATTTGTTCTCACGTTATGTAGTAAGTCTGAGATTTTATTTCAACAAATAAACCTTCTGTTGGATGTCTTCAAAGGCTTGATATAAAAAGTGATGAATGCGTATTGTGTGTCATGCAGCCCACGATAAGGACACCTTTTTTTATGTGACGGGTTGTCAATAATAAAATGTTTGGGAGGGGAGATACTGGTAGTCTCTGATAATTATCTGATAATTATCGAGTTTTTTTTTCAGATCGACATTAGCCAGGCCTGGAGTTGGCTCATTGTCAAGATTTCTGAAATCGGGAATTCTTTGATAATGTGTTGCACGATACGAATAGTATCCTTTCATGGCTCAGGGTTTTTATTAATATTTAGTGTAGGGAGTTCAGTTTATTGAAGTAGGGAGGAAACTGTCATTCTCCAATTGAATTATTAATTTCGCATTTTTAAAGTAGTCAGAAAATAAATTTAATCTCCGGGCAATTTCATATTTCATATAGTGTAATTAATTATAGCATTATTTATTTAGACACAGAAAAGCAGTCAAGTGTCACTAAATATACATGACAAAATAAAAGTGAAAAAAGTAAATAAAAAATCTGCATTTATTCAATATAAATTGATTATTATTACATTTTGTTGATCTTGTTATTTGCAGAGAGATTGCAGGAAGGCTGAGAGCTTGTCAGATCATTGTTGTCAATGCTTGCTGTTGAAAAGCAGGCCCCCGAATGCAGTAAACTTGACAGCCGTTCGTTGTCTGTACTCCATTAGTGCAA